AGTCTTTGAAAATAACATATACAAGGTCAGTAGATGTCTGCCCAAACTTGATTTTGATTATATAACATGATTCCAGCAAAGTAAACTAACCTTTGGCAAATTTGTTAACAAATTAAGACAAGTTTACAGTCTTTGAAGAAGGAGAGTACAGTCTCAGAAAACGGGAACTGTAGGGTCTTATATTCCAGAATTCCAAACAGGAGCCCCAAAGAAATCAAAATCACGATGGTGATAGACTGAACGGAGGCTTTGGAGTCAGATAGGCCTGACTCAGGTTCCAACTTCAGTGTAATTACATGCGGGACCTTGAGCAAACTCAAGTCTAAAGTTTCCTCAGCTGTGAACTGGAGATTGAACCCCCAACATTAACCCCACATTTTATTTTAGACAATGTGGAATTTTCATGCCTCTGAGAAACTAATGCTAAATATATTAAAACCATACAGCAAAGAGAAACCCATAATATCAGGCAAAGAATTAATAACAGAGTAGCACCTGTCTCAAAAGCTAACGCTAATGAAGCTAACAGAGGTTTCATTTCATTCCTTGATTTGTATATTAAGTGATTTTAAAATGTGATATAACAAGACAAAATTGCCTTGTGCCAATGTGGAAGAGTAGGGAAGGGTTTCGAAAAATTAATGATTTTAGAATTGCTGGATATTGAAATGTCTCATTTAAATCATTATTTTGCAACCTTTGCAATTATATTACCTTATAACTTAGGGCATAAGTATTGAGAGATTATTGTTAAAACTATTTCATGTATTGCAGGGGAGAATTTGCCCTTTGGCTTGATGGAGATCTCTACCATGGAAGAAGTCATTCTTGTAAAACGTTTGGGAATCGTACACTTTCTAAGAAGGAAGATTTCTTTATCCAAGATATTGAAATCTGGGCTTTTGAATAAATTTAATGCTCTCTGTCTCAGCAGGATAATGGCCCAAACCTGACATGGATATGCATCGTTTGGAAAGTTCAAGAAGCAATACAATGTAACATCTTACTCGTGCTTTAAAATTAGTCCTTATCACCATTCATTACAGTTATAATTTTGGAATTTATTTTTTAAATCATGTTTCTGTCCCAGAGTTCTTTAGGTTTAGACCATGGTGGTCCATGCAGTATAAGAGCCTGGGTTTTGTCAGAATTTGGGCAGCATTTTGATCATAGTGACCACCTCACCTGCATTCTGTGTCATCTCAGTCTCCTAAAAGGATGGTGCTCTTCTGTTGAACCTATTTTGGTTTATTATTTTTAAAACTGTATTGATCGTTTTACTACATCAGTCTAATTGGGGCGCTGAGGGGATGAAGACTAGTTACTGCTGTATCTGTGAGGCTGGCACCAGTGAATTTCGAATGTGCTCAACTGAGTCGTTCATATGAAGGAAAAAAACACATGCCAACATAATGCATACTTCATGGACCACTGAGTTCTAGTTTTAGTTCACACGACAACATTCTCTTTATTAATTTTGCAAGTACTCAATTTTCATTTTAATAAAAAATGAAATTTGAGAATTCTGGTTGTAATTGACTGCAGCACACATGATCTGCAGGTTTGGGCATATGCTTTCATCATTGAATTAACTGATAGTTATAAAATGACAAAGGAGAATGAGAACTTGATGATTCTACTGGATTTAATATATCAAGCAAGAAAATATACTACTTACATGTTTGTAGCTTAGCAGGGCATTTATCATAAGTACAAAAACTGAAACATGCATATTTCTTCAACATTTGTGTCAGGTATACTGTTTTATAGTTCTGTTGTTTTAGCCTTATTGCACACCAACTCCCAAAGTATAGGTTCCGTTCAAAAGGGAAAAAAAACTTGTGATTTTTTTTTGAGTGGCATATGTTATNTTTTCCAGTTAATGTGTATTACTGTGTGTTTTCCTCTTCTTAGTAAGATATGCTTTCATGGCTTTGCTAGAACTACTGAATTGTTTTCTTTTCTCTTAGTGCTTCTCATTCTGCCTTGGATTTTTTTTTAACCTTTCACATCATCAAAATAAGGGTAAAACATGATGATGTGAAAGAATTAATAAAGTTTAGCTTCTCATCATAAAACAATACAGTTCTAGAACATGTATTGGTTGAAAATATATGCTGTTTAAGTTTGTTAAGAAATCTGTTACAGGAACAGAATAGTTTAGCAACATTTCATTCCTGCATGGAATCATAGTCGCCGAGCATTGCTGCATTTTAGTTATCTGCTCCAATAGAATTCTGTTTTCCACTTTAAAAGTTTCATCAGTAATAGTTATGTTTTATATATTTTATTTTCTAATGTTAATTGTGTTTTATATGTTAAAATAAAATTAATATGAGAAAATAAGTGCCAACAGCATAGATTGAATTAGCTTGTTTTGAGTTAATCAACATTTTTATCATTTTAATAATGTCAGTGAGATCATTTCCATCAAGCAAAAAAGTATTTATTATTTTCAATGCATCCAATTAGTCTAACTTAAAACATAGATTTGTGAACAAATTACTTTTAAATGTGTCATTTGGTCCAACTAGATAAAAATTCAGTGTTTAGAACATAAAAATATTGAAGGCATTTTTTAAAATAATGGTAACTTTTTCGGTGAAGCAAATACACACACACACACACACACACACACACACAATGCAAAGTTAGACTTTTTATTGTACTGTTCTTTAAATTAAAATTTTGGCACCAAGGAAGTTTTCTTAATTATTTTGGCAATTTTTATGTTTGCCATGAAAAAAATAATCCCACATATTTTAAACAGCACACATGAAAAGCACACTAGTTGGGTCACTTTTGCCCCTTATCAGCAAAATTAAAGTTTACATGCAATGATCTTTTTCTGCACAGACATATGGGCTTATCATTCATTACCTGTCCTCCTTCATGTACTGAGTGAGAAAAAATGTCTTCTTATAGTTAAAATATTGTTCTACATTGGATATGCCATTGTTATTGGATGGAGCGTCTTTTGCCTTCTAAAAATACTAAGTTAAAACTTTAGTCACCTTTTCTAAGGTATAAAGTTTGATTTCTCTAAAAAATGCTGATATTTTTAAAGCATGTTGCAATTTTATATTAATATGCTGCTGCTGTTTACTTTTTTAGATTACTACAAGGGAAGACATAAATTCAAAGCTAGTGGCTCCAGTGAAAGCAGACCTGGAGTCTGAGTCTTTTCGACCAAACCTAAGTGATCCCAGTGAACTCTTGCTGCCAGATCAAATTGAAAAGGTATGACATACCCATATATGTGCATTTCTGAGTGTGTACCCATAAGAGTAAAACAGCCTCTTTTTAGTTGTTTAGAAAACTGAAGAAGCGTGGTTACTGCTACTAGTCTTCCTTTCCAATGAAGAAAAAGTAAACACGATATAGTTACTAGTGTAATAGGAGGTATTCGGAGATTTGGATAAGCACACTTTAAACATAACGAAAGCAATTTAGGTGAGCTACTACAGGAGCCAGTATTTAATTTCTTGTTGTGTGCTAGTTACTTGCTTTATAT